GCTAAAGAGCTGAGGGACAGCATTCAGGCCCCACAACTGACAAAAAGTAATTGCAAAACCCCAGAACCCTGTTATCTAGAACTTGAGCTCTAGAACCAGCTTGCTGTGTGGTTTTCCCCAACTCACCAAGCCTCTTCTGGATTTTTTCTCCAAAGCTGGGTATCAGTGGTTCTCTGACTAGGAGACTAAGATCTGAGACTCACAGCTGGAAATCAGCCTGGGCAGAAAAGTCTATGAGATTCTTTTTTTGTTGTTAGTTGTGGGCCCTGAACTCGGACTGGGCACTGTCCCTGAGCCTCTTTGTGTTCAAGGCTCTACCACTTGAACCACAAAACCACTTCAGGCTTTTGAGTAGTTTATTGGAGATAAGAGTCTCACAGGGACTTTTCTGTCCAGGCTGGCTTGGAACCACAATCCTCAGATCTCAACCTCCTGAGAAGCTAGGATTACAGGCGTGAGCCACCTGCACCCACCTTCCATGAAAATTATCTCCAATTAACAACCAAAAGGCCTGAAATGGAGCTGAGGCTCAAGTGGTAGAATGCTTTGAGCATAAAAACTCAGGGACAAGCTGAGCGCCGGTAGCTCACACCTGTAATCCTAGCTACTCAAGTGGCTGAGATCTGAGGATCATGGTTCAAAGCTAGCCCGGGCAGGAAAGTCCGTGAGACTCTGATCTCCAATAAACCACTAGAAAACCGGGGGTGGCCCTGTGGCTCAAGAGGTAGAGTGCTCACCTTGAGCTGAAGAGCACAGGGACAGCACCCAGGCCCCGATTTCAAGCCCCACGACCAACAAAAAGAAACAAATTCAGGGACAGCACCTAGGCCCTGAGTTCAAGCACCAGGACCAGCATACACAAAAACAAAAGGTTCTTTTTCGATAGAGACCATTGCCCCACCCCTTCTCAGTTTTATTGCGGAAAACAAACAGGAAGGCTCATGAACTGGAACACAGGTGTGCTGTGTCCCATTCAAACTGGAGACTCCAGGTACCCAGGAACGGCTAAATGACCTCTTGGCGCCACCTGGTGGTCACAACTGCATGTGGCGCTTAAGAGGCCTGGGAGCATTTGGTCATGACTATAGTTGACCCTAATAGGCATGGGAAAAATATACCAGGACCTTCATTCGTGGCTAGCTGGCCTTCCCATGAGGATATGGGGAAGAGGTACACTCCACTTGCCCCAACACTTCAGCCTCTCAAGATCATCTCCCTGCATTTTGTCCCTTTGGGCAACTCTGAAGTCTAAGAGGAGGCCACGGGTTGTGGTGCTGGTGCTGTCACTAATTACCTCTCCAGACTCAGGGACCTTCCTCTTTTACCTATTAAACATTTTATAAATGTCCACTTTTTTTTTCCAGTTTGTACTCTAGGTTTGTACTCAGGGCTTTGTGTTTGCTAAGCTAGTGTTCTACACTTGAACCACACCTCTAGCTCTGCTTGTATTTTGCTGGTTATGTGGAGATGGAGACTGGGCTGGCCTCCAACTACGATCCTCTAGGTCTCAGCCTCCTGAGTAGCTAGGACTACAGGCGTGAGCCATCTCCAATGCCCAGATTCTGCTAGTCCTTCTTGAATCATGTTGGCCCATTGTCTTCAGCCGGTGGCTGCAGTTCCTGTGCATTGAACTGAGGCCAGCCAGTCACATCCCTGCTCTTAGGTCTAGGGAGAGTAAGAGGAAGTGGCAGAGAGCAGAACTCCCACTCCTGGGCTCTCAGTGTCTAGTGGTGGCCACAGAGGTCCTTCTGGCCTGGCCACTCCCAGCTCTACTTCTGCTAAGGGGTACTAGCCTCTTTAGTTCCTATTCCTAGCTACTCAGGAGGCTTACATCCCAAGACTGTGATTCAAAGCTAGCCCTGGCAGGAAAGTCTCTGTGACTCTTATCTCTAGTTAACCAGCAAAGCACCGAAATGGAGTTGTGATTCAAATGGTAAAACACCAGCCTTGAGCACAAAAGCTCAGGGACAGTGCTCAGGCCCCTAAGTATAAGCCCTAGGATTGGCACAAAAAAAAAATGCCAGGCGCCAATGGCTCACGCCTGTAATCCAATCTACTCAAGAGGCTGCGATCTGAGAATCATGGTTCAAATGTTCAAAGCCAGCCCGGGCAGGAAAGTCTGTGAGACTCTTATCTCCAATAAACCACTAGAAAACCGGAAGTGGTGCTGTGGCTCAAGCAGTAGAGTGCTTGCCTTGAGCTGAATCACTGAGGAACAGCTCCGAAGCCCAGAGTTCAAGACCCACAACCCACAAAAAAAAAAAAAAAAATCACCATAAGTTGCTGTCATTTCAGCCCTTGTGGTATAAACAAAGACCTCATAGCTCTTACACAATTCACACATTTATTTGTCTTAAATAAATACAGCATGCCCTCAAATATACTTTCTTCCCCATCAACAAGGCAGCTTAAAAATATGGATAGCCGGGGGGCTGGGAAGGTGGCTCAGTGGTAGAGCACTTACCTTGCCTGCATGAGGCCCTGGGTTTGATTTCTCAGCACTACATAAGCAAAAAGAAAAAAGCTGGAAGTGGCTCTGTGGCTCAAGTGGTAGAGCACTAGCCTTTGGCTGAAGAGCTGAGGGACAGCACCCAGGCCGAGTTCAGGCCCCACGACCGGACTCCCCCCCCCCAAAAAAAAAAATATATATATGGCTAGCCAGGCACTGGTGTCTCACACCTGTCATTCTAGCTACTCAGGAGGCTGAACTCTGAGGATGGTGATGCAAAGCCAGGCCAGGCAGGAAGGTCCATGAGACTCTTATCTCCAATTAACCACCAGAAAACCAGAAGTGGTGTTGTGGCTCAAGTGGTAGAGTGCTTGCCTTGAGCTGAAGAGCTCAGGGACAGTGCCCAGGCCCAGAGTTCAAGCCCCACAACTGACCAAAAAAAGTAGATATATAGATATCTAGATAGACAGACAAGCAGATAGATAGACAGATAGATAGGTATAGATGTACAGGGGCTGGGAATGTGACTTAATGGTAGAGTGCTTGCCTAGCATGCATGAAGCCCTGGGTTCAATTCCTTAGTACCACATTAGCAGAAAAATCCAGAAGTGGAGTTGTGGCTTAGGTGGTAGAGCGCTAGCCTTGAGCCAAAGAAGCTCCAGGACAGTAAGTGCTCAGACCCTAAGTTCAAGCCCTAGGACTGGCCAAAACCAAAACAATAAGATAGATGTACATTTTGTAGCCTATGTCCTTAGGTCTAGACTGTGCTGGGCCCAGCGTTACTGTAAGGATGTCTCTAGTTCTGTTCTGTTTGGGCCTGTACCTGGCCCAAGTCCCCTGCATTTCCCTGCTATGGTTTGCCCACCATAGATTTGTCTACCAGAAGCCTTGTCTCCTGCATAATGAGTGTAGGCAATGGAACCTTTCACAGGTGGGGGTCTAAGGAAGGACTTTAAGTCATGGTAACTGCCTCATTATCAGTTTAATAATGTCTCACAGTACTGATCAGGTCTGTTAAGAGTGGATTACTAGGACTGGGAAGGTGGCTCAGTGGTAGAGTGCTTGTCTTGCATGCATGAGGCCCTGGGTTTGATTCCTCAGCACCATATAAGTAGAAAAACCCGGATGTAGATGTAGCGCTGTGGCTCAAAGTTGTAGAGTGCTAGCCTTGGGCTGAAGAGAGTTCAGGCCCCACAACTGACAAAAAAAAAAAAGTGGAATACTAGAGGCTGAGAATATGGCTTAGTGGCTGAGGGCTTGTCTAGCCTGCAGAAGGCCTTGGGTTAGATTCCTCAAAACCACAAAAAGAGGGCTGGGAAGGTGGCTCAGTGGTAGAGCACTTGCCTTGCATGCCTGAGGCCCTGGGTTCGATTCCTC